GGAAGGCGGGAGGGGTAGGGGTGGGAAGCCAGAGGAGTGCTTAGGAATGGGAGCGTTGGGAAAGATGGAGTGCAAGAAAGGGGGAGTGATGAGACAGGAGTAGGATTTTGAGTGATCAAATCTTGAGTCTTCAAACCCAATATTCATATGTCAGCGCTGAATGATTCCTCTCATCATTTCTAAGGCATGGACAAGGCGCTGAGGAGAGGAGGAAGAATCCCAAATGGTTCAAAGTATGAGCAAGACACAGGCTCTACAGGAACAACGGTAGACTCAGGAGAGGAGAGGAAGTGGTGTTATTAGAGCAGGTGGTGTTATGGGCGTAGGCGGTGGGAGTAGGATGACATTCACTCAGGGAAGATGACGAGGTTGACACCCTTCAAGTCAATGCGGCCTTCAAGTCAATGCAAGTAGAAAGGAAGACACGTGTGGGCGGCAGAAGGAAAACGAGCAGCTGCGAGCAGTAGGAGTGGCGTTTCAGAGAGAAGAAGAGGTGTGTAGCAGTAGTGCTGACAGTTGCAAACTATTTGGGGTAACAGCCATAGCATGGCAATACGTAGCAGTCACCCTGACTAGACAAAATATACTGGTATAATTTTGTACGCATGAACTTTCGGACCAGTACTTACACTTCCTCTTGGCAGGGGATTGATGTTTGACTTTTAGTAATTGCCCCCGATTTTGTCTCCCTAAGCCCGATGAATTTGCTAAACACCCTAATCTATCTGCTCCCCTTATATTCCACACCCCGTTCGAATGCAAAAACTGGGATTAACCATTAATTTGAGGGTAGTTTAGGGTAGTTTAGGGTAGTTTAGGGTAGTTAAGGGTAGTTTAGGGTAGTTTAGGGTAGTTAAGGGTAGTTTAGGGTAGTTTAGGGTAGTTTAGGGTAGTTTAGGGTAGTTTAGGGTAGTTTAGGGTAGTTTAGGGCCACGAGCTGGGTAAGAAAATTGTCATTGTAATGGCCCACGAAATGTGTGGCGCGGTCTGCTTACACGTTACAGCTCTTCGCATTCGCCAGACCCGACCATTTGGTCGGCTATTAGGCCTGGTCGGTACAATGTTACACGGCCTAACACTGACAGGTACTCGAGATTAATGAGAGTGGTGATTGCAGCAGGTATCGTCCCCGCAAGGCGGTTTTTGCTGAGTTCCCTGAAGACAGGTGAATGGATGGACGTGGAGGGAAGGGGGGATGAAGAGGGGATGAGGTGATGAGGAAGAGGCAAAGAAAGGAAGAGAGGAAGAGGAGAAGAGGAGAAGAGGAGAAGAGGGTAGGAGGAGAGGGGGAGAGATGAAGTGGAAGAGCCAAGAAGAGAGGAGAAGGCAGAGATGGTGCCTTGGAAAGTGTGAGTGCAGTTGCTGAAAGTTGTGTGCCTTGAGAATCACACACCTGCAGCAGCAGACGGAATTGAAGGCAACAGAAAGTGCCTCCGTATTCTCCTATTCTTGCCCTCGTCTCCCCTCCCTCCCTCTCCCTCACTCTCCCTCCCTCTCCCTCCCTCTCCCTCCCTCTCCCCCCCTCCCCCTCCCTCTCCCTCCCTCTCCCACCCTCTCTCTCCCTCTCCCTCCCTCTCCCTCCCTCTCCCTCCCTCTCCCTCCCTTTCCCTCCCTCTCCCCCTCTCCCCCTCCCTCTCCCTCCCTCTCCCTCCCTCTCCCTCCCTCTCCCTCCCTCTCCCTCCAACGCCCCCCCTCCCCCTCCCTCTCCCTCCCTCTCCCTCCCTCTCCCTCCATCTCCCTCCCTCTCCCTCCCTCTCCCTCCCTATCCCTCCATCTCCCTCCCTCTACCTCCCTCTCCCTCCCTCTCCCTCCCTCTTCCTCCCTTTCCTTCCCTCTGATTCCGATCCTCATCCTACCCACCCTCTCAAACCCCCGATGCTTGGCAGAAAGAGGCAGGCGGAACGAAGGGATGGAGAGAGGGGGGGTGGAGGGGAGGGAAATTGGGCGCACAAGTAGGTGAGCGCGGTGAGGTGGCCAATGCAGGAAGGAATGGTGCCACTGAGCCTGTTGCTTCTTAGATCCCTGCCATGGGATATCATGGGATGGGATGGGATGGGATGGGATGGGATGGGATGGGATGGGATGGGATGGGATGGGATGGGATGGGATGAGATGGGATGGGATGGGATGGGAGATGGGATGGGATTGGATGAGTTGAGATCAGCCCCATAGATTGGTTGTGGAGCAGGATGAAAATTGGCAAAAAATGCCACTTCACAGTAGAGGATCGCTGAATATTCCTGGAAAAAAAGGAAGCTGATAATTCAGCTCTGGCAGGCTGAACCTGCGTTAAAAAATGAAACCTGAGGGCCTCGACATGATTAGATGGGATGGAATGAAATGTTATGGGATGGGATGGAATGTTATGGGATGGATGGGCAGGCCATTAGCCCATATGAATGTCCCCACTCACTCTCTCATCCCCTCACCCACTCACTCACTCACACTTTCACCCACACGTTTCTGACTTGTCCACCCTCTCTCGGCCTCTCACTCTCCCACTCACTTTCTCACTAAGGGGACCAATCACGCCGGATCATCCCACAGAACCTTGCATGTCTACCCCATCACCACTCACAACCGCTGTAGCTGCTTGAGGCTGCTGATTGCCTCTGGAATGGAGCCTGAGAGATAGTTTTGGCTGAGGCCTCTGGAGCATGATGAGGGTGCAACGGAGAGGGGAAGGTGGAGAGGGGAATGCGGAGAGGGGAAGGCGGAGAGGGGAAGGCGGAGAGGGGAAGGTGGAGAGGGGAAGGCGGAGAGGGGAAGGGGATATATTTGAGGTAGAAGGCAGGAAGAACAATCATGCTTATGGAAATGGAAGGGGGAAAGCAGTGATGCGTTTTCCTCATTCGAATCTCACACAGCATGGTGGCCGAATCATTATAATCTTGTAGCTGACGAAAAGTTTAGATGCTGTTATTGTTGCTTCTTGCTAATAGTGGAGGTAAAGGAGGTGTAAGGCGGAAGAGAATGGGAGAGAGGTCAGCACGAGAGACGGGATTGGGTGGGATGGGATGGGATGGGATGGGATAGGCTGCACAAGCTACAAGTCCCCATCACCACTCACAACCGCTGTAACTGCTTGAGGGTTCGGACTGCCTCTGGAATGGAGCCTGAGAGACCGCTCTGATATAGTACCCTGGAGCATGGGGAGGTTGGGCGGAGGCCGGAAGGGAGGCGATGCGAAGGGATGTGAGGGAGCAGTGCAGATTTCTGCTCTTTTGTAAATAATGATCCGAGCTGCCTTGTGCAACGTGGTGGTGTTACACTGAGTGATCACTTTACTACTGAGTGAAAAGCATGCAGTGTTTTGGAAAATACTTGCTGATAACACAGGGCATTGACACATAGTGCAGAGGATGGGAGAGAGGGGGGTGGAGGGAGAATGGGAGAGAAAGGGGTGGAGGGAGAATGGCCACACAGGGAGGTGAGTGCGGTGAGGCGGGCAATGAAGGCGGGAATGGTGCCACTCATGCTGAAGCAGTTCAGCCACCTGCCATGTGGTTGCATGGGATGGGATGGGATGGCATGGGATTGAAGATCAGGAATGGCATGTGTGGCAGGGCAGCCCTTGACCAAGGTATAGCATGTATAGCGTCGTGGATGTGTTGTACTGGGTACTGGAGAAGCTCTGTACAACAAGCTACGGCACTGGAGAAGCTCTGCGGATTGATTTCCGAGAATTCTCACGATTAATCTACCGGAGAAGCTTCAGTCAAACGAGCAAGGTCACTGGAGAAGCTCCAAAGGGGGAAAAAGACTCGCAGTCACACACACACACACACGAGAATTCTAGCTAAGTTCAATTGCAGAGGCACAAGAGGCATTCGAAAAGAACTCCAGGACTCAAAATGCACTATCAGTATCCCATTGTCATATCACACAAAACGATGCACATCCCACTTCCGTACAGATTTTCCAGGTTGGTGAGTGCTCCTATTGCCTCCGGGATGGACCCTGACAGATCGTCCTCCTCAAGGACTCTGCAATCAAGTGCGGCACAGTGCGGTGAAGTGTGGCGCAGAGAGAATAGTGGGGAGGAGCGGAGGAGGTTGGGTGTGGAAAGGTTGATAACGCATTGCCTCACATGCATCCCCTGTGCACTGCAGGACCAGCAGAGCATATACCTGCAGTGCATGTGTCTGCGCTGCATGTGTCTGCGCTGCATGTGTCGGCAGCAGGGCATGTATCCGCTCTGCATGTATCCGCTCTGCATGTGTCTTGCAATTCAGCACTCACAACTCCCTTAGCTGCTTGAGGCTGCTGATTGCCTCTGGAATGGAGCCTGAAAAATTGTTTTCCTGGATAACTCTGATGCATTGTGACGGTTGGGCGCAAACAGGGAAGAGGGAGGGACGTGCAGAAGGGAGGGGAATTATTGGAAAGACTTTTGAGACGACTCCAAAGGAAACAGGGCAGAGGGATGTGCGACGATGGATGTGCGACGAGGGATGTGCGACGAGGGATGTGCGACGAGGGATGTGCGAAGAGGGATGTGCGAAGAGGGATGTGCGAAGAGGGATGTGCGAAGAGGGACGGGCAGAAGGGAGGGTAATTATTGGAAAGCGAAGGCCGGAAGGGAAGGTGTGGGTAAGAGGAGAGAATAGAAGCGGGAAGATGAAAAGGGAGTCAAATAAGCTGTTGGGATTGGGAGCAATGCAGAGTTGTGTACTGTTGGATGCAGATTCTGGAATGGGAGCATTCTCATGCGAACTAGAATGGCATGATGGACTAGCATCTTAGAAGTGCAAAGAAGGTAGGTGAGATAAGTAAGGGGGGACAAGGGCACGCTTGTTATGGAAAAGGATGTTCGATGGGGCGTGGTGCATGGCAGATGGTGCATGGCAGATGGTGCATGGCAGATGGTGCATGGCAGATGGTGCATGGCAGATGGTGCAAGGCAGATGGTGCATGCATGGCAGATGGTGCATGCATGGCAGATGGTGCATGCATGGCAGATGGTGCATGCATGGCAGATGGTGCATGGCAGCACGCACAGTGAAGTCAAGTCTGTGAGGCTGAAGATCCACGCAGGCAGCTCCCCAGACAGATGATGATTCGTCAAGTGCCTGACGATGGAAGCAATCAAGGGGAGAGGGCAGCAGCCATGAGAGGAGCAATCAAGAGGCAAGGAGCAGGGAAGTTAGAGGAATAATGGGTATGTGGAACCCACGAATAGGGGATATGCAAGGTGAAAACGAAGAGTGAGGAGAACAAAAGAGAGGAGCGGGCATGGCAAGCATGAAAATTTCCCTTATATACTGCAGTGTCATGAATGATGCTTCACATGCCCCTCAGGCTTCACACATCCCCTAGGGTGTCATCACATGCCATCACATGTCATCACATGCCATCACATGCCCCTCACCCGGCCTTACAGAGACTGCAGCTTCTGCAGCTGGGAGAGCCCGACTGGTAGCGACTCCAGTCGGTAGTTCCCCTCCAAACTCCTGCATGCACCAGCCATGCACCAGCCATGCACCATGCATGCACCATGCATGCACCACGTATGAACATCCATGCACCACGGACATGGACGGTTAAGAAACATCCGAGGGTGCTGCAGGGGGGAAGGGGGCTGTTGACGAGATGCTGCAGGAGAGAACCGAGTGGCGGGAGATGGGGTGTGAGGGGCGAGATGGGGTGTGAGGGGCGAGATGGGGCGTGAGGGGCGAGATGGGGTGTGAGGGGCGAGATGGGGTGTGAGGGGGCAGAAGGGCAGACATGGGGTCGACACAAATTCCGATGGAGGAACAACGCTGTAAGCCTCAACTTGCTCCACCACTTGCACTCATTCTCTCGCCTCACTCATTCACATGCCATCACATGCCATCACACGCCCCTCACCCTGCCTTACAAAGACTGCAGCTTTTGCAGCTGGGAGAGACCGTCTAGTTGTGAGGTCAGTAGATAGTTGTTCGACAAACTCCTGCTTGCACCATGCATGCACCATGCATGCACCATGCATGCACCATGCATGCACCATGTAGGCAACATCCATGCACCACACCACGGCGGAATGGAGTGGGGAGTAGCAGGCGGTGCAGGTGGGAGCACGGAGATAATGGCAATGGGGTGTGAGGGGGCAGATGGGGTGTGAGGGGCCAGATGGGGTGAGAGGCGACATGGACATTGCGGAGGAACAACGCTGTATGCCTCCTCTTGCTCCACCACTTGCACTCATTCTCTCACACCACTAATTCACTTACCTCTCACCATCTCACCCACCCACTTACCTCTCACCCTCTCACCCACCCACTCACTCCCCCCCTCTACGTGCTGCACCCCTCCCCCCAAGCGCACTCACAGGCGAGTGAGCTGCTGAAGATTGCTGAGCCCTTTGAGATCAATGCGATGGGCTGCGCTGTTGCATGGTGGGGTGGGGGCCATGGCAGGCACGAATAGGAGAAGGAAACGAGGGGAGCGGGCAGGGAGGTGAGAAAGAGGGGAAGAGGGGAAAAACGGAAGAAGTGGAGTGGATTTGATGTGCCGGAGAAGGGGGGTGCAGGTAGATTGGGAAAACAAAAGAGGGCGGGTGATGGCAAACAGGCGGAGCAGTTGGGCGTGCAGTTGGGCATGCAGTTGGGCATGCACATGCAGGTGGTAGTGTGACGGCGCGTGACAGAGAGAAGAGGGAGGGAGGTGCATGAGAGAGTGGAACTGACATGGGTTCGGGTTCGGGGAGCACACGAAGGCCGTAACACTCCAATTCCCTACAGGTAGCCGGCACATGCAAAGACGGAGAAGGGGCAGTAGAAACATGGGTGGGTGTTGGAGATAACAGTGGTAAGGGAAAAAGGAAGGACAATGGGGTGGGCCCTGAATCACAGTAAAGTGGGAGAGGCACAAGAGAGGGCCGATGTGGGCGAGGCAAGATGAGAGAATAGAAGAGAAGGCAGGCAAGACAGGACAAGACGTGTTGAACCAACCGAATGCAGGTCAGTCACCTGCACGTCAATGAAGACTGCCCAAGCGAGCTTCAGTCAGTACAAGCAAGGACCAATCTTTGCAAGCAAGGGGCAATTCACTGCACGCAAAGGAGTTTCACTACAAGCAAGCAAGGGAAAGTTAGCAGGGGAAAGTGGGAATAGAACGCATGAGCGCGTGAGGCCCAGTGCGCAACGAGAATAGCAGTAGCAACGATAATAGCAGGAGTCTCACAGATCCTTGAGATGGGACAATGCGAGCAGAGCAGTGGGCAGGGAGCCGTTGAGGGCCCACGCTTTGAAGGTGCTGTGGAAGGAGGAGACGGATGGCACGGAGGGAGGGAGAATTGAGGTCAACTCAAATGCAGGTTTCAGAGGGCGCAAAGGAAATGGAATCAGGGTGGTGCAGGAGGAGAATGCCAGGTGTACAGGACAATCACATGCTTACAGTGCAATGCCATGCTTACAGTGCAATGACATGCTTACAGTGCAATGACATGCTTACAGCGCAATGACATGCTTACAGTGCAATGACATGCTTACAGTGCAATGACATGCTTACAGTGCAATGACATGCTTACAGTGCAATGACATGCTTACAGTGCAATGACATGCTTACAGTGCAATGACATGTTTAGAGTGCAATGACATGCTTAGAGTGCAATGACATGCTTACAGTGCAATGACATGGTTAGAGTGCAATGACATGGTTAGAGTGCAATGACATGGTTAGAGTGCAATGACATGGTTAGAGTGCAATGACATGGTTAGAGTGCAATGACATGGTTACAGTGCAATGACATGGTTACAGTGCAATGACATGGTTACAGTGCAATCACATGCTTATAGCACAATGAGATACATGCTTACAATGCGATGACATGCTTACAGTGCAATTACACGCCCATCGCCATCACACTTCACGTGATCCATGCTGTCGCAATCTCTGCCCTTCATCCATGTGCTTGCATCCCGCACATCGTCCCATTCATGTGCTAGATTCGTCAAAGCTTCCACTGCCATGCATCCAGGACATCCACCCATGCCATGCACCCATGCCATGCACCCATGCCATGCACCCATGTCATGCACCCATGCCATGCACCCATGCCATGCACCCATGTCATGCACCCATGCCATGCACCTATGTCATGCTCCCATGCCATGCACCCATGTCATGCACCCATGCCATGCCCCTATGTCATGCACCCATTCGATACCCCCCATGCCATCCACCCATGCAGTACCATTCACGGCAGCATGTCATGCCACATCACGTGTTGAAAATATTCCCAAGGAGAGGCGAGAAAAGCAAGGAGAGGGAAGAGGGATGGAGGTGGGGATGTCAGGAAGTGCAGCTGCCACCATCAGTGATGGTTGTTGCTGGTGCGGGCCTCATATTGCATGTTGAATCGAGTTACGGTGTATGGGCGGTATGGAACACGGCATGGCTGACTGTCTGGGACCTCAGTCTGTCAAAAGGAGGAGGAGGAGGTGGAGGGACGCATGTGCGTGCAGCACGGCTCACTGTCAGCACGGCTTACTCTCGGCTCAACGGCTTACTCTCGGCTGAACGGCTTACTCTCGGCTTAACGGCTTACTCTCGGCTCAACGGCTTACTCTCGGCGTCCACCACGGGAGCAGCGCGTGCGAGGGGCATGCAGCAGCGCGCCACCACCAGCGCCACCAGCGCCGCTCTCGCCGCCACCATGACGCCGCGGCGCGTTTCCTTAGCAGCCCACCACCCCATCGATGGTCTCGCCCGAGAGCAGGTTTGTACAGTGGCCCTGCTCCCAGGCTGGAATACGCCCTTAGAATTCTCAAAGAACAGATTCAGCCCGAGAGCAGGTTGTACTTGCCCCTACGCGGCGTGACCCGTGAGGAGACACTGCTGTTGCTATTGCATCTCTGTCGTATCGTGAACCGCTTGCGTGTGCGCGTTTTCAGGGGCCGCGATCGAGACTCTTTGAACAAAACAGAATTATAATTGTTGCCGGGAACGTAATCTCGACCATCTAGTTCTCGTCTTCGTGTTCGTCCTCGTCTCTCATAGGAACCTTGTGAATCACTGATGCAAGCAAGGTGCAATCTTGGACTCATGAACGGATGAAGATGCAGCATCTCAAATCAGCTTGCTGCTGTTGCGTAAATCGTAGAGAAAGGAAGGTTGGATGGTGTGGTGCTCGGTTGCACAAAAAATTAGTTGGAGTTCAAGACCTCGCCTTCATCAACAGATTCTTCACCAAGTGCAGCCGTTTCAAAACGTAATGGATCTCCCCAGATATGCACAGAGCGCTCTGCACCGCACAGCAGCCTCGGTGATATCTGAATCAGGCCCTGAAGAAATTGATGACTCGGGTTGACCTTTGGTTTGTGGAAAGGTGGGGTGTGGTGTGACGGTGGAAAGACGACCCCTTATAAAACTATTCCCGCATAGCGCATTGCAGCTAGTAGTATATTTCACCTAACCTTGAAATCTTGTCATAGTCATCCGTAACAGAGCGCTAGTCTGAGACACCAGAGAAAATCAGAGTTGCAATATCTTTAATTATCAGTAAGAAGCGATTGTAGAAAATGTGGCTACTCAGCCACTAACAACAGTGCCACTTGCCCACTTTCCGATTGAAGACCTCAAAGAGGGTGCACACAACATTGTATACCTTCTAGAAGAAAACATGGCACGAGACTAAACAAAACTAAGTATTTCCTGCCAGCCCCTCACCTCCTCATTCTCCCTTACTCATCTGCTGTGCTCCATGGTCACACCAGCCGGCGCTTGCATGGCTGCCTTCCCACCACCTCCTTCCACACCCTTCATTTCACCGCAACCACGACACCGATACTCAAGAGTCTCCCCATCCCCTTTCACCGCCTTCCCCTGCCCCGCCCCTTGCTCCTCACCCGGGGTCTCATCGGGCAGGTGAGGGAGCATGTGGAAGCGGTAGTGCCGCACGGTGCGCACCTCTTGGCACAGCGAGCAGCACGGCAGCACGTACCACGACGCAAAGTCCGTCGCTGCCTTGTGCCCGCAGCACCACACCTGCTCCTGCAGCAAGAACGTCCGCCGCACCTTCCACCGCCAGTACCCGCCATACGTCACCCCGAGAAAGCTCCCTAGCACGCCCAGGCTGAACACAAACCACTGCATGGTGGTGTTTGGAGTGTTGCGCGCACCCATCGTGAATATCACAATAGGTCCAAAGATAAAGAATATGAACGTCGCAGTGAAGACAATCCTGTTGCCGAACCCAGCTCGCTCCACGTGCCGTCCGTGCACACAGAAACAGCAGACTGTAGAGCTGACTGCACTCCTCCATCCGCCAGCACAGCAGTCAAACACAGTCCCCTGCCATTGCGGCCCCTCCTGTTGCAATTTTTCATCGTCTGATCTCTCCCCTTCTGGCTGCCACACTGGAATCCGCCATTGCTTCGGATCCTTCAGCGTCCGATGCCCCTCCCCCGCCAGTAACTCCTCGTATTCCCCAAACCGCCTCGGCGCGGGCGGCTTTCCGCCTTCCGCCAGCGACGGCTCCTCCGCTTCCGCGCACTGCTGCTCCTCCCCGCTTTGCTTCCCCGTTTCACCGTGCGCCTGTCCGTCCGCCACCACCACTACCACCTCCGCCTTTCCCTCGCCTGCTATCACTCCGTCGCACAGCGCGCACGGCGTCGCTTTTGCTCCTTGCGACTCGCCTGCGACACTGTGCGACTCGCTCACGGACTTATGCGACCCTGTGCTACTCTTCCCAAAGCTTCTGAAACTTCTACGAACGGGAGGGTCAGCCGTGGCCCAGCCTAGAGGGCTGAAAATGCAGTACAAACCCGCTGTGAACGGCGAACCCAGAGCGATACAAACGAGGAACGCAATAAGGGGTACGGGGCGCTGCGGTTCAGGAATCGTCCAGAGAATGACCTCTATCGCGTACTGGAAGATGCAGTTGAGTTGAAGCAGCGTCAGCACGACCGACATGTGGAATCGCTCGTCCGGCTTCGCGACGAACGCGCCCGCCGCCGACAGCAGCGCGCGAAGGCTCGCGACGTCGATGCGGTTCCAGCGAACCAACTGCACGACGTAGTAACACCGGAGCGGGTGCATAACCAGGCAGCTAACCGTGCAAACGCCGTTGAGAATCTGATTCGAAAACTCGAACCACAGCTTCTCCTCTGTCCCGCCTAAAGCCCTCCACATGCCCGTGAGCGTGAAGAAGAGCAGAGCGCCGGAAACGGTCAGCATACCGATCATAACGAGGGTCGCTATGGCGATGGGATGCTTGAGGGCCTCGGCGGCCTTGGCCAGCGGCTCGCGCCATTCCTGCGGTAAGTAGAACGGGAGAATGAACATGCCGCCGCAGCAAAGCTGGCTCTTGGGCGCGATGGGCACGCACTGACACGACGCCGCGCCTTCTGCCGGGTCTTGGTGCCGCCCGCTGCCACCGCCGTCTCCGCCACCGCCGCCGTCATCGTCGCTATTGCGCGTTCCTCGGCTGCCGCTTCGCTCCGCCACTGCGGCAGGGAAATGGCTGGACGACTGGCTCGTTTTCTGCGTCGCTTTTTCTTTCCTCGTGTCGCCGGACGGCTGCTGCACGGAGGGAAGCGCCGGGATGTCAGCGGACGCGCCGGGGAGGGAGCCGCGAAGCGACGCGTTGTTGCCATCGCAAAACGAGGTGGAAGAGGAAGTGAAGGAGCCGAGGCGGTCGTCGTGGGCAAATGGCGTGGTTGACGAGGTGGACTTGTCCGACAGCACGGGGAACGGCGCGTTGCTTGAGAAGATATTAGGTCGCCCATTGGCCGCACCAAAACGGTCCATGGCGTGAAGATCCAAGCTGCGTTTAGGTGAGGAGACTCACGCGGAGTAAAAGGCGAATCAGCAGGCACAACGGACGCGGTTTAGGTGGGCCAAAGCTGAGGTAGCGTGCAGCACATGCCCGTGACACATGCGACGTGGCTGCTGCTACTTGTAACCCGCCTGCTCTTTGCGTTGGTGGGTCGGTGTGGAGTGGACAAACAGACTGCCTGCTGGGAGGGAATGGTGGTGGTGAGTCAAGCGAAAAAGCGTTTGCACCTGTCTCGAGGTTAGTTTGCTGTGGATGGATGGACATTGTGGGAAATTTTAGAGAGGGATCAAACAGACGGCCAGATTTGAGTGGCGGTGGAGGACGAGGCAGGGAAGAGCACAGCAAACGTAGATCTGACACAAGGGGGGAGACGCCAACAATTTTGCGGGATGTCCTTTTTCATTGTGCTAGGTGGCGCAGTGGTGTGCTGGTAAGTGTACAGTATTCCCAACGCGTTGCAACTCCCTCACCAAGTTTTGCAATGGAAACGTTTCTTTGTTGCTAATGGCCCTGGTTTTGAACACTACCGAGGTGCGGTGGCATCGGTTGGTGACTTGCTCGCCTCGTTGGCTATCGTTTGAAGCCCAGGTCCACAGTCAGAAGAGGGCGTGAAGGGTTTGAGTGGACTGGTATTTCGAGTGCGTAGATGAATAAGACTGCTCTTTGAGTGTGTAGTAAATAAGACTGATCCGCTGATTTATGACTCACTAAGACCAGAAACCAATTGTGTGTTCCTGTCTAGAATGTCTCTAAATTATTAACCTGCGGTACATGGGCCCTCTCTTGTTTCACAGGGTAGTCTCCTTGTGACCAGGAAGCTCGAGGGCATCGATATTGGAATATGGACGTCAGCCGACTCGAAGCACGGACAGCCACACTGGGAACTGTGCGACTTGAACGCCACTGGGAACTTCCCCCGCGAAGAGACTGCTTGCAGAGGGTACATCACTGAAACATCCCCCCTGGTTGGAACTCAGATGTGTTTGGGAAGGGATGGAGAATGGTGAAACAAAGATTCGCATCCTAGGGGCTGCTCCCGACAGTATGTCTGACTGCGGCTCAATAAGGCGTGGTACGATCTGGAGCGGTCTGTCAATATTTATAACGGTTGTATTTGCTAGACCGTATTTTTATGTTTCTGAGGTTTCGTTCCCAACTAACCTCGGGAGTAGGAGTTCACAACTACAGTTCATACAGACCTTGTAACGTATGGCAGGTCGTATCTAGAGGCACAGAATGTTGCAGAACCCTCGTTAAGAGGCCTCGTTTTCATTCGTGAGCATCATCCACTGGCTAATCTACAGCACCAAAATCGGCTAATTTCGCAACAACAAACGGTTCAGAAATTGTTCTTTGCAAGTTTCACGCCCGAGGTCAGTCTGGATAGTTTACCCGTGAAAACCAGAACCGTGCTTAACCGTTGTGTAGCGTGCTGACACGCTAGGCGAACCTTATACAAATGGAGTACATGATCTAGGTTACAAATTCGAATTCCATATCGTTTCACGTGTAAATAAGAGCGCTACCCCACTGCGCGTTCTCTAAGTAGCATCCCTCGATTGTCGCTAATCGTAACCGCTCTGATAAGCGCAGGACACCATGTCGAAAGACCCCGCAGCGCACGCGTTGGCGTTCCGCGTGATGCGCCTATGTCGCCCCGCGCTACAGGCGGATCTTCCGCTGCGCTGCTCCGCGCACGACCTCTGGCTGGGGGAAGACGACCCTCCGCTCGCCTCTTCCGCGCCCCCGCCCCCCGACGACGCCGTCAGCACCGCCGCCACAGGGCTTGGCGGAGCTGGTCTCAGCGGCGCTGGGGGGGCGCGCGCGAGTGCGGGGGACGGGGGGTCGGGGCGGGGGTTGGGTGTAGTAGGCGCGGCGACGGCGGCGGCGGACAGTGATAAGTACTTCGCGAGCCGCGTGGAGCTGAGATCGCCGCTAGACGCGCTAGGGTTGTCAGGCATGCTGGTGCTGCCACAGTCGTTCGGGTAATGCGCGCTTCTTTCCACTTCCCCCTTTCCCCTTACCCTCTCCCCCTTCCCCCTACTGGCTGTAGGCTCAAAACTAACCACCACCCTGCTTCACCCTGCCCTCCACTCCCAAGAGACACACGCACCTCGTGTCCAACTTCACATAACTCTGTTATCACTCCCTTTCCCCCTCCGCGCATCCTCCCTCTCCCCACCCGACCATCACCCCACCCACCTCCCTACCCCTACCCTCTCCCTTTTAGTCCCCCCTGCCCCATCCTTCCCCCCACTTACTCTCACATACCAGCATCAATCCTCTCCCCCGCACACCACCCATGACAAGTGCTCTCGATTTGAGATGTGCGTATCAAAGAAGCACGGCTGCCCCTCGCTCCCCTGCTGCAGGTCTATCCATCTGGGGGAGACGTTCTGCAGTTACATCAGCGTTGGTAACCACAGCGACCGCCACGTCAGCAACGTTGTCATTAAGGTCAGCAATTTGGGGGAAAGAGGAGTGGTGGGGAAGGGGGAGGGATGGTGAGGGGGAGAGAGAGACAGACGGATAATTTGAGAGGGATTGGAGGGAGGTTTGGGGTGTGGTGAGAGGTGGGACGAAAGTTACGTCGCAAAAGTGGAGGCACTGGGTGGGGTGAGGCGAGGGTGATGAGCAGGGGTTATGATCGTGTAGCTTCCGACCCTTGCATTGTACCATTCTACAACGTTGCTGAGCTGAGCTGCTGTTTTGACAACAACGCGATGGCTCGATTGTGCTCTATTGAATGAAGGCTGCAGCGAAGCGAACCATCCAAGGTTTCTCTCTTCCGCAATTATCCATGGTCCCAGGCGGAGCTACAGACAGAGCGGCACAGAGTGGTGCTTGCAGACAACTCGAGCAGCCCTCTGGAGCGCATTCAGGCGGGCGGCAGGCATGACTTCATCATCGAGCATGACATCAAGGAGCTGGGGTCGCACACGTGAGTGCCGCATGGGGCATGGGTGTGGGGGATGCGCATGGATCATAGGTATGGGGCATGGCAATGGGCATGGGCATGAGCATGGTGTGATGTGGAGTGCATGGCATGTATGCTGCACACATGAGACATGGTGGAATATGAGAAATTGTAGAAAGGTTGAAATAACAGAGTCGAGGCCACATTTAGTCGAACCAGTGTTGAGACACAAATCAACAATCGCACCACTCATCTTATTCGCGTTTGCTTTTGGCTTCCTCCCCTCCAACCCTGCTTCGCCCTCCCATCCTGAGCCCTCCTCCCAACCCTGCTTGTTGTCTGTTGCATGGCAGGCTGGTGTCTTCAGCGCACTGTATCGACTTTGGCGAGCACAAGGTGGTGCTGCTTGCCTTCCTTTCATCCCTCCACTCTCTTACCCTGCGCCCGCCCTCCTCCCAACCGTGCGTGTGCCATGCGTGTGCCATGCCATGGCAGGCTGGTGTGTTCAGCGCACTACATCGACTTTGGCGAGCACAAGGTGCTGCCGCAGTACTTCAAGTTCATGGCTGCCAACCCCCTCTCCGTCAAAACCAAGGCATGCTTGCGTGGTCGCAGGGTCGCATGGTGGAATGGGGGCAGGGCATGGGGGCATGGGGGCATGGGGCATGGGGGCATGGGGGCATGGGGGCATGGGGGCATGGTGGCATGGGGGCATGGTGGCATGGGGGCATGGGGGCATGGGGGCATGGTGGCATGGGGGCATGGGGGCATGGGGGCATGGTGGCATGGGGGCATGGGGGCATGGTGGCATGGGGGCAAGGTTGAATGGTAACAGGCTGGCAAGGTGGCATGGTGACACTTGATCGTGCTTTTCTTATCCAAAGTTGCCCCTCCCCCACGAAGGTCTTCCTTGCCTCTTCCCCTCTCATCCATTTTCCTTGCCCTTCCCCCCCTCCCTCCACTCCACTTTCCAAGTGTCTAACATCCCTGAGGCATCATGAAACCTTCCGTCTCACTCCTCCCCCTGCCCCTTTCACCCCCTCACACCCTCCCTCCCTCTTCCCCCCTTTACCCACCCCACCACATCACCTGTCGTCCCCACCACCTGCTCATTCAGGTGCGCACCATCCGCGAGAGCACGTTTCTGGAGGCGTGCATAGAGAACGGCAGCAAGGCAGCGCTGTTCCTCGACCAAGTGCGCTTCGAGCCCACTCCCGCCTGGCAGGTGAGATGAGGCACAGCACTGGGGCCGGGCAGGTGAGATGAGGCACAGCACTGGGGCCGGGCAGGTGAGATGAGGCACAGCACTGGGGCCGGGCAGGTGAGATGAGGCACAGCACTGGGGCCGGGCAGGTGAGAGGGCCAAACTCCCAACGAGGTGGCGGAATTCGTGCCTGGCTGGCTGTGTGGCATAAGTCGCTTGTGCCTGTTCTTGCTTGGGTGATAGTTGTTCAGTGCCCAAGTGTCTGTCTCAGTGGCAGGTAGGGAGGAAATGTGGTTACGTATGGATGGCGTGGAATTGCAATGTGTGGTGGGTGTGCTGGCAATGGCATGCACGGTTCTTTTGATCCGTGCAACAACTCATGGTTGCTCACCTTTGTGCTCCTTCTCTGGCTTGTCTGCGTACGAGCGAATTCATGGGTGCATGGGTGCATGGGTGCACGCATGCATGAACGCATGGATGCCTGGGTGATTGGGTGCATGCATGCATGAATGCATGGGTGCCTGGGTGCATGGGTGCATGCATGCGTGCGTGCAGGTGGCCCAGTTAGAGCCGGAGTTCACAGGCAAGGAGGAGGAAGAGGAGGAGGATGGAGAGGAGGGCGCCAGGGAGGAGTGGGGAGGCGCAGCAGTGGCAGATGAGGAGGACGACACAGTCACAGGGGTGGCATGGAGTGAAGTCAGGTGAGGGGCTTTTGAGATTTCTCAAAAGCAGTCAGGTGAGGGAGATGGTTGAGTAAGGGGCTGGAAAGAGGGGTTTATTGTTGTGGGTGTAGGGTGCCTTGTGAGTCGACTCAAAAGTCACTTTGGCGCCAGATGAGATGAGGTAGACACAGTCACTGGGGGGGGGTGACGTGGGGTGGGGCCAAGTGTGCTCCAGGAGAGGGGTGAGGCGAGTGGTGTGTGTATGTACGTGTTTGAGGACGCGTCCTTGAGATGTGGGATACGGGTTAGAGAGAGGAGAGCGAGACGAGTGTCGGGTGAGAGTGAGTGCTGCAGGGAGAGGGCGTTGCATGAGGGGTTAGTGAAGGGAGAGAGAGGGCATGAGCTTAGTTGTTGACGGGTTGTTGACTGTGATTGAAAATGACAGGAGTCTTCTTGGGACGTCTGAAGAGATGGGAGGGAGAGAGGGCATGAGCTTAGTTGTTGGGGCTTCAGAATGGCAGGAGTGTGGAGTGGAGGTATGGAAACACTTGCCGCTTGGTTGCTGGGCACACAGGTGGTGCCTGCCTTTCCGCTTTGTTGTCGCTCTAAGGGAGCTTTCTTTCACCTTATACCAGAAGAAAGAGAGAAAGAAAGTTCCTTCATCACCTCGTTTCCTCCCTCCTTCCGCACCTCGTTTCCTCCCTCGTTTCCTCCTTCCCTCCCTCCCTCCCTCCCTCCCTCCCTCCCTCCCTCCCTCCCTCCCTCCCTCCCTCCCTCCCTCCCTCCTTCCCTCCCTCCCTCCCTCCCTCCCTCCCTCCCTCCCTCCCTCCCTTCTTCCTCCCTCCCTCCCTCCCTCCCTCCCTCCCTCCCTCCCTCCCTCCCCTCCCTCCCTCCCTCCCTCCCTCCCTCCCTCCCTCCCTCCCTCCCTCCCTCCCTCCCTCCCTCCCTCCCTCCCTCCCTCCCTCCCGTCCTCCCTCCCTCCCTCCCTCCCTCCCTCCCTCCCGTCCTCCCTCCCTCCCTCCCTCCCTCCCTCCCTCCCGTCCTCCCTCCCTCCCTCCCTCCCTCCCTCCCTCCCTCCCTCCCTCCCTCCCTCCCTCCCTCCCTCCCTCCCTCCCTCCCTCCCTCCCTCCCTCCCTCCCTCCCTCCCTCCCCGTCCCCATCTACCCAACCGCAGGGCGCTATTCAAGCCGGTGGACCTGATTCGAGCCAACGGCGGGACACGGCACTTCCTCTACCACCTGCACAGAACGCCCCCACCCCCTGCTGCCGCCGAGGGAGGGGGGGCGGGGGAGGGAGGCGGGGGCGTGGCGAAGGTGGAGGGGGGGAACACGCTGGGGCGGCTGGAGATACTCTGGCGCTCCACACTGGGGGAGCCGGGGCGACTGCAGACCCAGCAGATACTGGGGAATGTGAGTGGGGAGCAGGGTAGGGGGGAAGGGGGATGGGGAAGGGGGGACGGGGTGTGGGACAATGAAACCAGTGTGAAGAGGGTAGAGGGGGAGGAGGGAGAAGAGGAGGGATTGAATGAGCGTTATGGGAGTTGGTTGTGATTGGAAATGTGTGGGGAGAAGGGTTCATACAAGCAGTCGTGTTTGCGTCCTTCCGTCCTGCAGCAGCCCTTTGTTCTGTTCAGTTATCATTCACTGGTACTTTTATTCTATCCCACGGTCCAACAGCACTCCCTCCATGGTTGCTCCCCATTACCATCCATCTCATTCTTAGCAGCAAGTGTGTTCCCTCTCCCCTCTGCATGCGTGTGTTCAAGCTTGCAGACATCCAGAATCTCTGTTCTGCTGCTGTCCAACCCCCCCCCCCCCCCCCTCTCCCCTCACCATTCCTCATCCTCACTGCCCACTCCTCCCCCTCCTCCCCCTCCTCCCCCTCCTCCCCCTCCTCCCTCTCCTCCCCCTCCTCCCCCTCCTCCCCCTCCCCTTCCACCTGCCCCCTTCAGCCCATAGTGCAGTGCGCAAGGAGGTGGAGTTGAAGCTCGTCAGCCTGCCCAACAACCCATAACGCCCCCCTCCTTCCGCTGCCACTCCCCCACCCCTTCCCCCCCTTACCCCCCACCTCCCCCCATCAGCCCATAGCGCGCAAGGAGGTGGAGTTGAAGCTCGTCAGCCTGCCCAGCAGAATCGTGCTCGAGCGACCCTTCCTCGTGCGCCCCTTGCCTTGCCCGCCTCCTGCCCTCCCTCCCTCCCTCCCTCCTCCCTGAATCCCCCTGCCCCTCGCACCCTCTCTTTGCCTCTTTCCGGGTTTTCCTTCCCCCCTGTATTTTCGAATGCCTTCCTTACTTTCTTGTGCTCCCCCCTGCCTGCTCCCCCCTGCCTGCTGCGCCCTGCCTGCTGCGCCCTGCGTGCTCCCTCCTGCCTGCTCCCCCCTGCCTGCTCCCCCCTGCCTGCAACCTCCTGCTTCAGTTGAGGTGTCCAGCTATCAAACCCGTTGTGTATAGTATATGCCATCAAACTCCCCACACCCCCGCTTGCTTCAAACTCCCCACACTCCCGCTTGCTTCAAACTCCCCACACCCCTGCTTGCTTCAAGCCCACGCCATGCTTCGTTCACCATGTCTGTCTTCATCCCCACCATGGTTCCTCCCTCCTTCCCTCACGCTCCTCCTCTCCCTCCCTCTTCCCTCTCGTTCCTGGCCCCTGCCCTGTCCCCCGTCCCCTCTACCCTCTGCCCCTGTCCCCTGCCATCTAACCTCTGCTCCCTGCATTCCCGCCGGCCCTGTCCCTCTCTTTCCCCTCCCCAGGTGCACTGTCGAGTGCACAACAACAGCGACCGCCCTCTGGGCCCGCTGCGCATAGTCATTGCCCAGGACGAGCCCGTCATTAGCCCTTCTCCCATCCCTCCCTTGTTACTGTCTCCCATTCCTCCCTTCTTCCTTTCCTGCCTTCCTTTCTTCTTCCCTTCCTCTCTTCCCCCCTTCCCCCCTCCCCCTTTCCTTCATCCCCCCTTTCCTCCCATTCCTCCCTGCCCCCCAGGTGCACTGTCGAGTGCACAACAACAGCGACCGCCCGCTAGGCCCGCTGCGCATAGTCATTGCGCGGGACGAGCCCGTCACTACCACCACCCCCAGAGCCATTGTTGTCAGCGGCCCCTGGACCATGGTGAGGTGCAGTGCGGTGGAGTGGGGAGAGAGTGGGACTTGGATGGAGCATGGTCCGGCTGAGTGCGGTGGAGCTTGGTGAGCATTGGGCATATCTGTTCCATGCAGCGTAGTCTCACAAGATCATCATTTGGGTGTGTCCGGTCAGACGCCAAGCTTTCATGGGCGAAGTGAAGTCACAATGATTTTGAGCCGACTCGAAACAAATCACAATGCCCCACTACTTCGTGGATGGAGTCCCAAGAAGGGCCAGGGAAGAGAGGGGCAGAATGACGAGTGTGACACATTGATGTTTCCATTGTTTCTTGTCTCCTTTCGTAACCTCCTCCTCCTCCTCCTCCTCCTCCTCCTCCTCCTCCTCCTCCTCCTCCTCCTCCTCCTCCTCCTCCTCCTCCTCCTCCTCCTCCTCCTCCTCCTCCTCCTCCTCCTCCTCCTCCTCCTCCTCCTCCTCCTTCTCCTCCCCCTCCTCCTCCTCCTCCTCCTCCTCCTCCTCCTCCTCCTCCTCCTCCTCCTCCTCCTCCTCCTCCTCCTCCTCCTCCTCCTCCTCTTCCTCCTCCTCCTCCTCCTCCTCCTCCTCCTCCTCCTCCCCCTCTGCCTCCGGCCCCCGCTCTCCCCCTCCTCTCGCCCTCCTCTCCTACCCCCTTCTCCCCAACAGACCATCATCAGCATCGCTCCAAACTCGTCAGCGGATTTCAACCTGGTTGGCCACCATACCTCTCTCCCAATGCTCCCAAGCACTGTTACCAACCACATGCACTTTCCTCCCATCTTTTTCCCATATCGCTCTTCCATGCCGTTCCATGCCATTCCATGCCCTTCCATGCCATTCCATGCCCTTCCATGCCCTTCCATGCCATTCCATGCCCTTCCATGCCCTTCCATTCTGGCTTATCTCGTATCTTTTCCTTCATCTTCTTGTTTTCCATCGTTTTTTTTCTCGCTCTAAACATCCTCCTTCTGCATCCATCCAGCGTCCAGCCCTGACCATCCTCTTCTCTACGCCTCCTCCTCCTCTCCACCACCCACCACTCCTTCCCTGTCTCATGCGTGCTCTCATCTCCCGGTGTCCTGTACCCACACACATGCCCTCGTGTGCCACAATTCGCCTCAAACCCCCTCCGTGCCAGTCCATGGTTGCACTAGCAAGTGGCGTGCACAAGATATCAGGGGTGGGGGTTGTGGATGCACGGGACTCCAAGCCATACGATGCACTCACTCCCACCGAGGTGCTTGTCCACTCCTATTCACATCACATGCACCGATGGCACATGCCTCCCACCACATGCCTCCCACCACATGCCTCCCACCACATGCCTCCCACCACATGCCTCCCACCACATGCCTCCCATCACATGCCTCCCATCACATGCCTTCCATCAGATTCCTCTCATTGAATGTCTCCCATCGCATGCCCAACATCCCTCTCGTAACATCATAATTCACGCATGGGCTCAAGATTGCAGTGTACCTGCCCACTATGGCGCATGTGCTATCTCATCTGTGTGCACCCCTTATCAACTCTCTTTCATTCTTGTGTAGGTTTACGTGGAGCTGCAATAATACTCGCAAGGAGGATACATTGTGATTCACCTTTCTTTTACCGCATACTCAACCATGATGATCCACTACCAAACTACCAGTAGGTCACGTGTACTGTGTATCAGCATAGTGCACTGCTGTCTATTGCGATATGTGTTGGGCTGAGAAAAGCCCTTAGGATCTTTGCAGAACTAAACTCTGAGTAGGAACAATGTAATAGCGGAAGCGTTTAATGATAAGCCCGTGAACCACCTTGCGCTGGTATGTGAGGGCAAAGTAGATTAATCAATCAAAGAGATAGAAGGCTTTTATAAGAGTACCGTACAAGGAATATGAAAAGATGCAACTAATAACTGTTTTACTGTTTGATGTACCGTCTCCCCCCGGATATAAGCGCCACCCTAGGATAAGCGCCTGGCGCTTCTAATTGGCATATGGCGCTTATATCCCCTCCTCGATTATAAGCGCACCCCTTGAAAAAACTTGTTTTATTATAAGCGCACGTAAACTTTAAAATTTGAAATGTGTTCAAAAAGCTGTAACGATTTTTACTTTAGCAGGCGGATATGTTGCAGAATCGGTTCCCTTCACATTCGAACCCTGCACTGGATGCGGGTCCAGTCAGCAGGACCTGTCAGGAGCTGGATGTGAGTCAGATTGGGTGTATCTCCCAGCGCGCGCGAGAATTTCACAGACGATCCCATGTAACTTCGACTCGATTGAAAAGGCAAGCACGAGACCTACAGTTTGGTGTTAAAAGATATAAAAAAATATGTATGTCATTTTATAAACGCCGGCGCTTATAAATTTACTCGATTATAAGCCCACCCCCATGAAAAAACCTGTTTTATTATTGCCCCCCATGGGGGTATATCCGGGGGGATACGGTAGCGGTTCAATACATAGAGGACTCGGGCAACTGCTCGATAACGAGTTAGTTGTTTGTCCTTGCTGCCGCGCTGTACTTGTCAGGTCAAAGGTCGCTGACCTTTGACTTTCGCGTAACCTCCAGCAGTTGCTCAATCTCCTAGGGTTGACTTCACTGATGCTTCGCTGTGTTTCGCTTCGTTTATGACTTAGTGTTTCGACCAGGGCAAATTTTATCAGTGTAAATCACCCTGATACCCTTATTATCAGGGTGGTTTTTGGTAGTCACACTGATGGCCTTGGGTATTTTTTTCGGGAGCTAGAATTTTCCTGATATGCCAGGGTTTACATTTAAGGCACACTGATGACTCAGGCTTACCGATTTCATAACGAGTTTTACCCTGAAGCTCGTAACATCACCCCCTTCCCCCTAACCCCCGCCCCCCCCAATTCGCCTTCGCACTTCTGTCCCAGTAGATTGAATTTTAAGATACATGTTTGAGCTATCTGGACTTCGCGTTGGAGTTGTTGGAAACAATAAGTCCTAAGTGCGCTTCTGTCGTATCAAAATCCAAGGCACCAAGCGAAGCAGTCCCAATCGAAGCATCGAGTCAACCTCGGAGGTTAGGGTAACCGCCTGGAGGTTACGAGAAAGTCAAAGGTCGCTGACCTTTGACTCGACAATTACAGCGCGACAGTTAAGGACACACAACTGACTCGTTACAGAGCAGTTGCCCGAGTCGCACTATATCGAACCGCAACAGCAATACAGTTATCTATCTATCTATTCGTATTCCCTGTACTCTTATATAAATCCTTGTATTTGCTTGTTTAATCTAATCTACTTTGCTCTCACACACCAGTGCAAGGTCGGTTCACAATCCTCATTAAAACGCTTCCGCTATTACAAGTTTCTACCCAAGAGTTCTCCTCTGCAAAGATCCTAAGGGCTATTTTTCAGCCCAACAGGAGTGGCCCGGTCGGTAGCTATAACTTCGGAATGATGATGGCTCGAGATCGGTCCTCGGCTTCGCGTTTTTGTTTGGAACTTCCGTAGAAACACTTCATCAGGGTATTCAAAATTGTTACACTGTAGCATAAGGGTAAATTTTTTGAAACTATGGAAAACCCTGATGGAAAAGAATTTTCCATTGGGGTCACACTGATAATCAGGGTTTTGCAAAGGTGCAGGACTGATGATAAGGGTTGCTTAAAACAAAAAATTAGCCCTGGTTTCGACGCGACAGAAGCGCTTAAATCACTTGTTTCCAACAATATGAAACATGGAGATTTGGGTCAGCATTACTAATATTGAACGATTGGCGTTTTGGGTGTATCAAGGGCTTAAATGATCGGCTAGGACATCAAAGGCTATGCTTGTGGAACGTGATTACCGGTAGTAGAAACCTGAACATCAACTCTTTCCTATTTGGGTTTAGTCCCCTATTTCATGCTGCAAAGTTGGCAAAGCAAAGCCAATATGAAGAAGGCAAAACCAATAGCTTCATACAGTTCGACATTAGCTTGAACTTGTAAGTGACTGGAACAGGTTGTTAGAGTAGGTTGATAGGGATGGTTGACTATCAAGGAAGTTTGGGTACAAGGATGAGTACCCTATGGGTTGTGCCCTACATTGGCTACCCCCCTACAGCCTAAACAGATATAACATGCATATAATTGACACACCCCCATAAGCAAAGTGGGGGATGTTGGGCTGAACGCCCTAGGATCTTTAGTAGAGTTAAAGTCTGAGTAAACGATGTGGTAGCGGAAGCGTTTTTGAGTAAAGTCCTTGAACCACCTTGCGCTAGTATGTGAGGGCAAAGTAAGTTGATTAAAGCAAAGGAATACAAGAATATATATATGAATACAAAGAATATGAAGAGACATAATTATAACTACTTTACTGTTGTATCATTTTCGTCATACTGTCAGCGACGACCATATCCGCGTCGTTACCCCCAGGGTTCGAAGGTAACCCTGTGACGAAATCCATGGTAACCTGCTGCCAGGCGCGCTCAGACGGTGGAATCGGTTGCAACTGACCCGCCTTTCTTTTTTGCAAGCTCTTCATCACCTGACACGTAGGACACGAGCCCACGTGGTGCTGTACATCGGTGAATAGCTCTGGGAAGTAGTAATACCGCTGCAGTTGCTGTCGCGTTTTTTCTACCCCGAAATGTCCCGAGGTAATCTCGTCGTGTGCCTCCTGTAGTAACAGTTCCCTCAGTAGTGAGTACGCGGGTACCCAGATGCGGTTGGTGCCTGTTTTTACGTAATAGACCCCTCTGGCTTCTGCCAAATGCTGTGAATTTCCGGTCGTGAAAAATGGGTCGGTACTGTATCCGTGGGTGAATAGGCCTGTTAACAATGGGTTGGTTTGGGCGAGTAGGATGGCGTGGAGTTGGGCGGTGGGGCGTGTGAGTGCGTCGGCGATGTTGGATGCGCCTTTTTTTGTACGTGACCGTGTAGTAAAAATTGGACTCCAGATAGTCCAACCAGCGGATCTGTCGTGGGTTGTGATTCGGTTGGGCGCGCAGGTACTGTAGTGATCGGTGGTCTTTCCTGTGGAAAACTGAACGAGAATGAATCAACTATGAATGAAGTGAGTACAAATATGAAACCCTAATTGGGTTGTACCCCCTATGGGATACCCCACTATAGCCTACACAAATAAGTAAGCTATAATGTTCTGACACACCCCCATAGGCAAAGTGGGGGAGAACAAGGGGTCACAAGACCAGTCAAGCAAAGCAAAGCAAAGCTCAAGGTGGATCACAAAGTCACCACACATTCCGAGCGCAAGGTCAAGGGCCACAAGGCCAGTTCGCATGCAAGATCATATATAGAGATATACAAGAGTCAAGCAAGCAAGAGCAAGAGTATATATAGGTCAAGGTACAAGCAAGGTCAAGAAGTGAGCAAGTGAGGCAAGACAGGCACAAGACCCAGCTGCGTGCAGCAACGCTGATGATCACAAGGCGCAAGTGCCTTGGTGAAGACATCAGCAGTGTTGGCCTCAGAGGCCACGTACGCAAGTCGCAACTGTCCACGCTGCTGCAGCTCACGAGCAAGAAAGTAGCGGAGAGCAATGTGCTTTGTCCTGTGCTCCAGTCGCTGCTCTCGACACAAGGCCAGCATGGCCTTGTTGTCTACGTACAGGACTAAAGGAGAACGAGGCGGCTCTCCAAGGTCGGTCAGCAGGTAGGTGAGCCAGCGAAGCTCCTGAGCAGCCATAGCCCCGGCGTAGATCTCAGCCTCACAACTGGAGCCGAGAACAGAAGACGAGCGAGTAGCCCGCCACGAGACAGAGCCGGAACCAAGGCCGAAGGTGTAACCCTGTGACGACCGCTGCGTAGCCTGGTCGTCAGCCCAAGAAGCGTCCGCGTGCCCAGTGAGGACCACTGGACTGCGCCCTCCAAGCACTAGCCCCATGCCCAACGTACTGCACAAGTAGCGCAACACCCTCTTCGCTGCAGCCATGTGCTCTGGTCGGTGTCTCCCAGGAGCAACATAGCGTGCGAGAATGCAGAGAGGGTATGCAAGGTCAGGTCGTGTGCAGGTCATCAGGTACATGAGGCAGCCAACAAGCTCTGCATACGGGCCACTCGACTCTACGGACTCATCCGAAGGCAGAGCTGAGAGCGAGTGGCGAGTAGGCAGAGGAGTGGCCTGAGGCGAGGAGTACGTGAAGCCGAAGCGCTGAAGGACCTGCTGCACCATGTGTGACTGAGTCAGGGTAATGGTGCGGCGTGCTCTGTCCCGGGTGATCTGCAAGCCAAGGTAGCTGCGCAGTTCACCCAGGTCAGTGCACGTGTGTCTCTTCTGCAGCTCGGACTTCACGTAAGCGAGTCCAGCAGTGTCCGCTGTGGCAAAGACCAAGTCGTCGACGTACACGAGGATGTAGAACGGCGGCAGAGAGGTGTCGGTGCGCAGAAACAGCGACGGGTCGGCAGCAGAAGGAGCAAACCCAAGTGCCGCAAGCGTAGTCCTCAGTGTGTCGTGCCACTCACGTGGCGCCTGGCGGAGACCGTGGACTGGACGCCGGAGACTCCACTGGGTACCAGGAGGGAAAGACCCAGTGAAGCCAGGTGGGCGACGCAGCCAGATCTCCTCGTGCAGGCTGCCCTGCAAGAAAGCTGTGCTGAAGTCGA